GCTGGCTGCTGCCTGAGGGTGGAGTCATGGTGCAGTGGGCGATAGGCCTGGGCCCTACAAGGCATGTGTGAAGTGGATCACCAATGAAGTTGGCTCCACAGTGCAACCATCACCCCAAGCCAGCCCTCCCTACCTGACTCCCAAAGCCTTCTACCTCAGGCTGTTCAGCTCCTGCCTGGGCACCAGGATGCTCAGTGGCCTAGCAGGGTTTGCTAGGTTTGGCTTCTCATTCATGCAGAGGCCCTGTCTGAAACATCTGACCAGGTCTCATTCAAAGGCTATCTGAGGGTCATGTTCAGAGCCCAGGTAGCAAGGATAGGCTGGCCAGCTTTACCCCCAGGCCATGGCCCCGGTGCGACCAGAGCAGTCACCGGCCATCTGTGGGCCAGGTCCCTCCACCATGAGGAGTGGGAACGTGGTCCTGACCTCTCTATGCCCATCTCACAGTGTGTTCCATGTTCCAGAGCCCATGACTCCCCCCAGCATCTTCCCACTGAGCCTCCCACGGTCCCAGTCCAGAGACCCTGTGGTACTTGGCTGCCTGATCAAGGATTTCTTCCCCTCGGGACCTGTGAGTGTGACCTGGAGCAAGACTGGGGAACAAGTGATCGTCATAAACTTCCCACCTTCCCTGACTAAGGAGGGGAACCGGTACATCACGAGCAGCCAGCTGAGCCTGCCAGCTGACGAGTGCCCAGAGGACACGAACGTCACATGCTCTGTGCAACATGCCACAAATCCCACCAAAGAAGTGGAAGTGCCATGCTCAGGTGAGAGGGTAAGCTGGGGTGGACCACCCCTCATGCACCTGTGTCCTCCTCTAAGCAGCTTAGAGTCAAAAGCCGAACTGCCTGGCTCAGCATAGGAGTGGCCACAGAAAGCCCAGGAGGGGCCAAGAGATGGGCAAGGAAGGAGCAGAAGGGGCCATTGACCTACCAGGGTCTCTCTCTCTCACTAGCAGAAACTCCACCAACACCAACACCAAAACCAAACCCAGATTGTTCGTGCTGCCAGCCCAGACTGTCACTGCAGCGACCGGCCCTTGAGGACCTGCTCCTGGGCTCAGACGCCAGCCTCACATGCACACTGAGTGGCCTGAAGAGCCAGAAGGCGGCCACCTTCTCCTGGAAGCCCACAGGCGGGAAGACTCCCATCCAGAAGCCTGCTGAGCCTGACTCCTGTGGCTGCTACCGTGTGTCCAGTGTGCTGCCTGGCTGTGCCGAACTCTGGAACAGTGGGCAGACCTTCACCTGCACGGCCACCCACCCTGACTTCGAAGGCACCCTGACCGCCACCATCACAAAGACCACAGGTGGGTCCAGCGCCCACTCCTGCTTCCACACCACTCTACAAAGGGAAACTGAGACTGGCTCAGGGGTCAGGGCTCAGTGGGGTGCTCTTTGCTCCCAACCTAGCCCCTGACCCAGCTCTCTACCCCACAGAGAACTTCATCCAGCCTCAGGTCCATCTGCTGCCGCCGCCGTCGGAAGAGCTGGCTCTGAACGAGCTGGTGTCACTGACATGTCTGGTGCGGGGCTTTAGCCCTAAGGATGTGCTGGTGCGCTGGCTGCATGGGAGCCAAGAGCTGCCCCGCAGCAGCTACCTGGTGTGGGATCCACTGAAGGAGCCCGAAGAGGGTGCTAACACCTATGCTGTGACCAGTGTGCTGCGGGTGACAGCCGCGGACTGGAAGCAGGGGGAAAACTTCTCTTGCATGGTGGGCCATGAGTCCCTGCCCCTGTTCTTCACCCAGAAGACCATCGACCACCACTCGGGTAAACCCACCCATGTCAACGTGTCTGTGATCATGTCGGAGGCAGATGGCACTTGCTATTGAGCCTCCCTGCCCACCCTGCCCTTTCAATAAACACCATGCTCACCCACTACAGCCCACACTTCCATCTGGCGCCTGTCTGCCTGTCCATCCATCCTCCGGGTGTGCAGCACAGAGGGAAGGGCCAGGCCAGGAGGAAAGGACAAGCCCTGCCCCAGTCGCTGGGGCCCTGGGCTCCAATGTGTGCACCAGTGTGCATGTGCCTGAGAGTGAGTGTGCATGTATGTGTGCCATGGGCACTTGTGTGTGCCTGTGGGTGTGTGTGTGTGCTGTGCACATTTGTGTATGCCCGTGCGTGTGAGTCTATGTGCATGCCTCTGAGCCTGTACCTGTGATGTGTGTGTATGTACCTGTGTATGTGAATGTGTATACATGGGCCTGTGAGTGTGCACGAGCCTGTGAACATGCAGTGCACAAGGACTCAGGCCCAGCCCAGTGTGAAATCTGATATTGGCAGAGTCTCTGAAGTGGGCACAGGCCACAGGGGGCCCTGAGAGCAGTGCAGTCATGGGAAATGACAGCTGGTAAAGTAGTGTGTATGACTGGGGTTGCCATGGCTTCAGCCAGGGAGGCCAACAAAGGGCAGACAGGAGCAGGAAACCCAGACAAGGTTGTGCCATTTGCAGGGGGTTGGAGGAGGGGGGCAAGAGAATGAGAGCTGATTCCAGGGA